GATTAAGAGATGGAGTTTACGAACGTACCTGGAACTTCCCAAAGCAGAACTATCTGATATGAACGACGAATCGACGATCAAAACTTGATAGCGAACGGGGACGACGATTTACGGAGGAGAAGAGAGGGTTCAGAGTTCCATGGGAGCGAAAATAGATTCCAAACTTTAAGCGAACTAGCAGACTGGTCATACTTATATATTACTAAAGATCATTTTTTTTTAAAGGATATTGGAATACAATTTCTTATCTAATACTTCTTTCGTCCCTGAAACATCTTCCCCTTTCCTTTTTTCTTTGTCCCACAAACTCTTTCCTTTTTTATTAAAAAACTACTTTTACCCCTTACTTTTTCATATCCTACCTATCACATCATACTTTTTTACTGATAATCTATCTATCACATCTTAGTTTTTCTCAATCACATCAAGTGTATTTTTGGAAAGTCAACACCAAAATATACCTTCCTTAATTTTCCAAAAAGTCAATAAGGGAACTTCTTTCGGGACGGAGAGAGTAGAATATAAAGATTTTATTATTTTAAGGTACAAAAGTTAATTGTTTTACAAATAACGAAAGACTTCTTTATAAACTACATTATTCGTATAATTTTTATATATCAAACTTTAAAACATTTATTTATTTAAAGACTTTTTCATGATTTTCTACTTCGAAAGCATGAATCTTATTTAAGAACTCAAGAGAGTGTAAGTCATTCAAAAAATTTGAAAGAGGCTAATTACGAAAAGTGATTGAGAATGACTGTATTTAAGGTATGAAAAAATTAAAGTATTTTTCTATTTCCATGCATCTAATTTTTTACGGGTAAATTATTAATTAGTGGTTGATTGTTCAACATATAAAGGTATATATATTATTCAATACGTTTCCATGTATTAAAGGCACACTTCTTAAAACGATGTCTCCATAAAANCATGATTTATTCTTGCTACAAAGTAATTTATGATTTAATTATTATTTCTATATTCAACACTTAACATATGTGCCACCATTCTTATGTATTACTTTGACATTTTTTTATATTTAATTTCTTTTATTATTTTTTATTTTGATATTTTTAATTGTGCCTTCCTTAAATGCATAAACTTATATATTTAAATTTCTTCATAAAATATTTGGCACCGAATCTCTAAATGGAAACATAATTAAATTTAAAGCTTATTTTCTTAACATAATCACACCGTAATAAATTAATAATGATTAAATATGGTAATATTAAATTTGGTCATGTTCTCTAAATGGAAACATTTTTAAATTTAAAGTTTCTTAGATTAGAATTATTAGATAATAATAATGACTAAGCACGGTAATTTTATTACACAGTATATTATTATCATTCTTCTTACATGGTAATAAATTAATAATGATTAAATACGACAATATTGTTACACGATTGATATATTAATATTATTATTCTTGTTACATGGTAATACATGATTTATTCTTATTACACGGTGATTTATAATTTAATTACTTCCTCTGTCCCGCTATATTCGTACACTTTTGACTTTTGGAACTGTTCATCTAAACACTTTGACTCATCAAATTCTCTCAATGTGTAAGCCTAAATATAGTCATGTGTGATCTTGTTTGATTTGTCTTAACATATAGATTATTAATATATAATTTCTATAATTTCTTAATATACAAATTACAAGATAAAAGAGATTAAAGAAGTGTATTCAATGGTGTATAAAAATGAAAGTGGACAAATACTCTGGGACGGAGGTAGTATCATTTATTTATTCAACACTTACTATATGTACCACCATTTATATGTATTACTTTGACATTTCTTTTAGATTTGATTTCTTTCTGAAAAGGAAACAAATGGTTTGTGTGATTAAAATGGTTTGTTTCTTAATTGGAAATTATATAAATTACGAAACTGTAAGTTTAATGCATTGATTAAAAAATTTACACCTTAACGTGATTATTACCTTTTATGGACAAATCTTATTTTTAGTTGAATGGTAATCATTTTTTATTATATCAATTCCAATTTTATAAAAAAGTTCGATATTAAAAAAGAAGTTTATATAAATAATATTTTTATATTTTGTTTCCTTTTAGAAATATATTAGGCATGCGAAATTTCCTTTAATTTATCATTCTAAATAAGAATAGAGTAATTAAGTAATTATGCATGCAAAATTATTCTAAAAAGGAAACAACGTAGATCTTGTTTGCAAAATTAGTCCCTTCCTTTTTTATCAGAATTAAGTAATTATGCATGCGAAATTTCCTTTAATTTATCATTTTATTATTCTTAAAAGTATTTCCTTTTAAGAATAAAGTGATTAAGTAAATAATTACATATTTAATTAGACATATATAATTACTTTTTGATAAAATAATCGGGCGTAAATTATTCCAAGTAATTATAATAATAATAGTAATAATTAGGCGTAAATAATTACCTATTTAAAAAGGAAACAAAATATAAAAAATCTCCTACACCGTCCCTTCCTTTTTATCACAATCAAGTAATTAGGCGAAATTGGTTAGGAAATAAATTACTTCCTTCCTATTTTATCAGAATAGAGTGATTATGCATGCAAAATTTCCTTTAATTTATCATTCTAAATAGGTAATATTACACAACCAATCATAGCCGTAGATCTTATTTGTTCCTTGATATCGGCAGTGCAGGAGATGAGTGCATTGGGCGGGGAAATATTTCTCCTGCTTTTAAGAATAGAGTGATTGGAATTATTGGATTTATGAATAAGAGCATTGGGGTTTTTCAGCCCCAAAATTTGCAATGCTATCTCCATTTTTTTTACATTATTCATCATTTTTATTTTTTTAAAACAAAATATATGTAATTAAAATAAAAATATTAAGATCGACACTCTTTGATAAAAGGAACATCAATTAAAGAGTGAAATACACCAAAATATAATTAAAATTTTAAAAATAAATAAAAAACAATGAAATAAAAGATAAAGTAAACAAACATTAATGCTGCAATTAAGTATTGAGAAATATGGTATAATGAAGAGAAGTTTATAAAAAGGGTGAATTGAGAGAGATGAGGGAGGATGAATTGAAGAGGATGATGTGTTGAATTTATAGACTTGAAAAATTAAAATTAAATATGAGTGCGAAAACAGTTAGTCAAACAATGCAACTTTCGACGTTGAGCCGGGGGTCTCTTTGGAAACAGCCTCTCTACTTTCGAGTAGGGGCAAGGTCTGCGTACACACACCCTTCCCAGACCCTACTCTTGTGGGATTTAACTGGGTTGTTGTTGTTATGAGTGCGAAAGTCTGTGGACGGCTACTGCGATTTTACATTGGCATTTCAGCCCAGTTCAACGCTGCGAATTTGGAATGCCGCCGCTGGGGCAGATAACATGGCGGAGGTGCTGCAATGGGAGTGTGGGGCGGTTTCGTATCGGTTTTCGGTAAAAAAATTGGTTGAATATATACGTACTTAGTTTACACTTTAAAGTGTAACAAAATCTTTTTTTAAATCAAAATTACATTTAAATAAAGAATGATAAAATTAAAGAAAATAATTAAATTTAAAAAATGCGCATGATACTTAGTTTACACAATATTTCACAAACAACAGAAAACAAATAAAAACAAAATAGTATTTTATATTTTGTAAATATTTGTATATTTATTTATAAAAAAATTAAAACTTAAATAAAAATATAATTTACACATAATGAAACTTGAACTAATTCAAAATAAATTTAGAGTTATATGCATATATGGTCTTCTGGCTTTCATAAGTGGGTAAATAGTCTTCGATCTTTTAAAAATTGTCAAACAGTCCATGTGATCGAATAACCATAACATAACTAGTCCCTATATTAGAAAATTCGTAAAATGTACGTAACAGACGCGTATTATGCCAAACGTCAATCATGTAACAGTAAAAAAAGTTAATTTAAAATTTCATTTGTGACGTGTAACTTTAAACTATAGTACAATATCTTCCATCTTCTAGTTTAACTTTTACAACGAATTCTCTATTTCATCTATAGTGATATTCTTGAATTGTAATACAATATTCTATGTGAGCTAGACATTATTCTGTTTTTCCTAATAGTTTTATTCTAAAATAAAGTTGCGTGAGAAACGACATAGAAAAAGATCATCTATTGCCTTTAATGACGAAGACGAGGGTAATATCATGCGATAAACTTCTTTTTTACATGTTTCACATTTCATACAACAGCCTATGTTATTTACAATTTTTAAAGAAGAAACTAATAACACATCAATTTTTTGACCACGTGAATTATTTTACTACTTTTAAAAGTAAATGAACTACGGAGTATTTACCTATTTATGAAAGATAGAGACTACTAAAGTCATAAATTTTTACTCCATATCTAATGCAGAAATATTAAAAATTATTTTTTACTTATGCCATATGTTCCTGATATTTGATTGGTGGTTAATCTGGTTCACCATATTCACCAACCTGAACCGTTCTTCTCCGATAATCCGATTCAAAGTTCTTTTCTGCTTTTACTTTTGAGAACATTGATTCTAGGAGCACCCGCATTGGGTGGTGGAGTAAAGGGAGGACTACTCCAAATTTTCTCTTCCAACTCAGATTTGGTGGGTCCAATACACAAATCCTCTATTTACTCCTCCTTATCTATTACTATATCAGAAGGACTACTAAAATAATACTCCGTATTTACTATGTGACTTAAATAATTTTTATTATTAGTACAAATTTATATTATTTACAATTATTTTAAGAGAAATAAAATTATGTACTTCATTTTATTAAGGTTTCAACAATAAAATTATTAGATATAAAAACATAAAAGATTTGTCCCCAAATTATCTAAAAACATAAAATAAAATCTATTCTTACATTTGAATTTTTTTACATATGAATTTGAAAATTTTTAAATATGGTAAGAATTATTCGAAAAAGTAATTAAATTCATTTCTAAAAATTTAATCATGGTAAATATTTAGAAAAGTAAGAAAGAGTAGACGTTAAAAAAAGAGGAGAAATTCGTCCGTCCACATGGCAGGATTTTGTTGGCTGACTTCTTCCACTTTTTCTTCTTCTCCGCGGATGAGTTCTTCTCCGCTGCTTTCTTGAAATCTGAGCCGGAGGAGGACTTCTCCGTCTACTACTCCATCCAATGCGTCCGTCCAGTGCAGGTGCTCTTACGGAGTAGTTATATGCCGGGTAAAATCGCAATCCTGATAGATCTATGTCTCGATCAACTACTTCCAGGTTAGCTACAATGGCTATAACCCTAATTTCTCATATGCGAATGTATTTGTTTAGGCTTAATTTCAGGAGTGGAACTCGAATCCCATAACTTTGTATTGGGAGTGTTTTGAATTTAAATTATTGATTTGCTATTTGTGTGAATTTTAATTATTAGTTCTATATATATTAATTAGCAAGCTTAATGGTTAGTTTGTGAAATTGTCTATGGGATTTTTTATATTAATTACGCAGTACTCCGTTTCCTGTCCCGAAAACCCAGAATTGAGGACTCATCTACCAAAAATTGCTTGGAATGTTCAATTATACACCCCAGTGTTGAAATGATAACATAAATGTAGACAGTCTTGAAGTTGATATGCCGGAAAACATAAATGTATATTGGAGTATTAGTTTCCAGTAATTAACTAATTATTTTACAGTGTTTACTGAACATGACATTTTAGGTTTGCATATTGGAGTATTAGTTTCCAGTAATTATGTTGGTTCATGGCATTGGTTTCTCTAGGATGGATTCTACGTTAACAATCCGTGTTCCTAATTGTTTATGCTTATGATTATTTACATGTTCTTGGTCCTAAGAACGATGTTGAGTTCTTGGAAATCCGGTTTAATTAATTCAAACAAATTATAAAACCAGTTGCAAACAAGAAAAAAACATTATTGGTTACGGAGCAGTGGAGTACAAATTTTATAGGCTTCCTTCAAAACTTTTGGAATCATGCTTCATAATGTGTTTTTTCCAATGCAACTAGTATTATTCTCTAATTACCTTGCAGTTTTCTTTCTGTTTTGAAATTTGAAATGATGTTCTCCTTGTCTTGGACTGTTTAGAATGTAGATTTTTTTACCGAACAACTGGTTTGGGTACCCTATGTTTAGTGTTTAACGGGTTTGGGTGAATGCGTATAAGTTTAAGTCAGTTGGATCCCTACCCATGGTCACCACTAATGTTACATAAAAATGTTAAACATAAGCTTTTTCTCATGAGGCCCATGGTCTAATTTGCAGACAGAAAATGGGAGGAGGAGGAGGAGGTAAGAGTGGCAGCATAACGATTGGGAGATACGAATATGTACACGATGTTGGCAAATGGCCCATTGAAGCCATAGACGCCTACCATGTCATGCTCTCAGGAAGCACATTACTTAAGGCTTCAATTTTATTCTCCTTTCTTATTTTTCTTCTTCCATCGGCGGTCTACATCTGCTCCATACTTGTACATGTAAGATACTCACCCACTCCTATTAGTTTGGCGTTTTAGCTTATGAGCATTGTTATGGCGGTACACTGGCACCTTGCCTTGGCACCGTGATAACTATGCCTACGATATCAGTTCTGGCAACTTTTCCAAATTGTATAAAAAGGATTTGGATGGTGGGACGTCTCCAAGTACCCAAATAGGGACGTTGTAGTCCCAAATCCCAATTTGAGTGGGATTAAAATGAGCCACATATACTTAAAGTGAGAGTTTTTAAAAAGTGGGACTTCCATCTTCAATGGATAGTCCCATTTTGAAGTTCCACTAGCATATTCTTTGGAGAGTCCTATTTATTTATATGGGACCGGTTCTTTGCTTTCATCCTAAGTTGGACACTTGGACATGCTCTTAGGACCCATTTGTAGAGAGTTATTTAGATAATATGGATATATCTATTTTATGACATTTATTAAAATAAAAGCATTCTGTAACATCCATTTCAGCAAAACGAGCAAGTCAAAAACTTCTTTAGTTTTCTTACAAGCAAAGTGAGCTACATTTAGCTGTAAACAGATTCTTATTGTGCCATGTTAAGGTTATATTTCTTGAATTGTTTATTACTACGGTACATATGGATCTCAAGTTGCAAACTTATACCGAGTATTTTGAAGGAATAAAGAAATAGTGTTTCTTGAGCAAATTTTACCCCTTTTTTCCCTTCTCCACTTTGGTATTGTAATCACAAGCATTTTGAATGTAGTGATACATGTGTCTGTTTCTTTTGTGTGTGACAGCAGGTCAGGTCAATCTCTGCTCTTTTTTACAGCTTGCTCATAGGGGCATTTCTAATTGGGATGTACCTGAAGCTAGTTGTGAGAGGTAAATAGATAAAACCTGTAACATTGTTACATCCTACTTTTTGTTCAAGGGTAATCTGCAAAAAAGGAAGCATGTTTCAAAAGTATGATATTTTTTCTTGTAGTTTATAAAAAAGAGTTCAAAACAAGCTAAATGTAGTAAATTTAGTTGAATTTAAAAAAAAAATTGAAACAGTAAGTTGAAATCAGGATTGATGAATGATGACTTAAAGAGGTTGACTTGACAAATATTAAATGTTGTAGCATGTGTAGAGTTTCTGATTATCATACTTGCAAAATGGTATTTTAGCACGCAGGTTGTGAGTACTCCATGACATGGGGAAAATCCAATGGTAATGTACTGAATATGCATTTTATGTCAACCCTTGGATGCTCTCCAGGTCAGGGAAGTATTTCACTAGCAATGCTTGCAAAATATCCCTTGGCCAATTGTTTGTTGCTTTGTTCTTTTCTTAATATCCCTGTATCTAAAGAATGCATTTGGAAATAGGAAAATGGGAAAGAAAACTCTTTGGGGGAAAGTAGAGGATAAACTCAAACTTCACAAATTTGTTTTGGATATTTATTCAAATTCTTTTCATTCGTTTGCTCTCATTTTTAAATTAGCCACATAATTCATTTTCCTTTGCATTTTCCATGGTAAAGCCAGACAAATGATGTTAAGTTCCTCTAGTTTTGCTATCATTTTTGAATTGATTCATGTTTTCATTGGAATTCTTTGGCTACCATATTTTGTTTCTTCTTTCTTGTTCATGCTCTGTGTCACATTTATAATTTGTACATAACAGAGTCAGTAATAATTTTGCCTGCTTTTGGAGTTCAGATTGAGACTCGATACCGAAGGTACTTTATGGTTCTGTTTTCATACATGATACATGTGAAACCTCTTTATTTATTTACTTTCTCTGTATCATTTATTGTTCGTTAATGTATCATGAGTTCATGATATTCTATTCCACTTGCGATATAGTTGGTCTGGAAATGGCTGATGCAGTACTTCAAATCTTCAATAACAGCGGGAGAATAAATCGACAGTTTGTGCCTTTTAGCAAGATTTTGAAGCCTGTCCTGAATGAATGTGTGACTCCCATTACTTGTTACTGGACACTGTCTCTCATCATTCATGGAGAAGACCAACTTTGTTTAGTTTTCAAGGTTAAACATTTACTTCTATTCTTTTAGGGTGTGTTTGGTTGGAAAGGATTGGATGGAGGAGGAAAATACCCTCTTACTTGGTTTTAAAAAAATGGAGGGTGGGGGAACCAAAATACCCTTCTCCCACCCAATACCCTCT